AACGTGTCATAAAATCAATTCTTTATCCTGGTCCACCGTAAAATTAAAATTACACAATTTTGTTCTTATACGTCGAGACGGTTACGTACGGCTGCTTTCATATATAATCCTTGCACCAAAATTTGTATTTAATTTTATCACATCATTATAATTTATATTTACAAACCGGATTCAAATTTTGCATGAAGCTTCCCGAGACCCTAACAAACAATATTTTCGAAAGGTTGCCAGTTCGAGGGGTTAGCGTGAATCCTTTTCATAAGGGTTCGAAAGGTATACATGTTTAGTATCATTTTAGGGCCTTTTCGCGGCCTACAAAATTGTATTGAGGGAAAAAAATGTACAAATTCAAGTTTCTGAGAAAAATATCAATTTTCTGGGTTTGAACAATTAAAAGAGTTCCCACTAACTCCTCGAAGTGGTAACTCTTTGAAAATAAGCTTCATGCAACACTTGGTTTGCTTGTATCCGACAGGTAAATATTTTTTCACTAAGCGACCTCATTATAATGCAAAAAAAACCAAAAAAGTTATAATTTGTTAGTCAATGGATAAATAATCAAACCGTGCCTTTTGTATCTAGCTCGGTTCGACCTTTTTTACAGGATACTAACCAAAGTGTGGTGTCTTTAAAGCGGCGCTACACCTCAATAAAAAGAAGTGCAGCTTTTCGTAAAATATAGTATTAGCTATTAACGAATAGTTTGACGCTTAGTTATGATAATTCAATCAAGTTTACCAATATATTAACTCACAATGAGCTACTAGTAGAGAATTTAGGTCATGTATAATAGATATCCAATGCGTACTAGATTGCATTTACCAAAAATAGTAATGATTAATATCTACTGTTACTGTTATTAGTCATTTAATAAAAGCTTAAGAAAAAGGTTAATTATCAGTAACGACGCTAGGTTTTATACCATGGGTGGACAAATACAGACATAACAAGTATATAATTATGTACGTTGGGCGAGATGGCATCGTCAAACATTTTCGGATCACCAGTCAACGTTAACTATAGTCAGTAAAAACTCAGTTAACTTGCTAACAATACAATATACTTATAAGGGTGTCTGTAATCTACGAAAAATACATTTTATACTTTTTCCCTGTGACAGGCGCATTCAAAATTTGAAAAATCGTTTCATCAATTTTTTCAAAATATGACTCATGATGTTCCTACAAAAGATGACGATGATTTCTACGAATATTTTGATATCACACTATCTACTTTAAGTGGTTCAAAACACTCATAAGACACATAACACACATAAGTATGATAAATAGATAGACCATCTGTCAAAAAGTGTCAAATGTGCTCATAATATCATTTTGTATCGAAATAAATAAAGAAATACAGGGTGTCCCATCCCATTTAAAAATAAAAAAATTAATCCCACTGTCGACAAGCGCAAATGACAAGAAACAATTGAAAAATGTAAATGTTCAAATGTCATTATTTACCTTAAAAAGAACAAAAATATTGTAGGGACGAGGTTTTAGAACTTCTTAGAATCACACGATATATGTTTAAACACAACACAACAATAGAAAATAATATTCATAAATAAAATAAAGAAACACGCCAAAAATTACCTCACATAAATAAACTACTATAAGGAAACATTAAAAAAATATAATATTCTTGCAAATAATAAAAACACAGGGCCTGTACAAATTTAGAATGCCCTTAAACGTGCCTAAGTTGAATATTGTTGCTTTGACTTCACAGAAAATAAATCTCTTACGCTCCTTAAACTGTTACCGGCACTATACAAATTGACAATATCAACTGTTTCTTCAGTTAAATACATGGCACACGAAAGAAAATGAAAATACGGAAGGAAAAGCAGCAATATTCAAATTAGTTAATATGACAGCCAGGTATTTTGACATTTAAAAGTAGACATAGGGAAAAACAATACACGTAAATACTTATGTCTACTTCTTAATAGATAGCACTGTAGAATGGTTGGGTTGGGTTGATGTGTTTGTAATTAATACCTATAATAGGAGATAAAGCAGGCACTCACCAGTCACATAACGAAAACGATTTCCTACTAGAGATAAGTTATGTTTCGTTCTTCCCACGTCATTGAAGTTGATGTACGGAGTTTCTAGCGAGTGTGTTGTTAATGTTGGCACTACCATTTCACCATATTACGTTCAAAAGTATAAAAGCTACACATGAAATCTTTTTTCTTAGAGGCACTGTGATAACGTCATCATCACTATTTCAAGCGAAAGGGCTGAAGATTTAGCTCTAAATTTTCAAACTTAATGCCAACTAGTGCCATTTTAGTCCTACCGCCACTCTCAAAAGTGTGGGTGGCAATTCTCAGGAACACTAACATTTTTTGGATTGGATTTTATGATTAGCACCATCATGCTTGAACACCTAGAAAGCGGCTATAATAGAGTGCAAATTAAAAGTAACATACCTCTGATTAATACGGTGGTTAGTTACGAAACGAATAGGTACTAATACGGCAATAGTTCAAACTTAATCCGCTCAAGCTTCAAATGGTGAAATATTAAAAAGAATACACGAGATAACAAGATGGTTATGGGAATATTACCGTTCTTACGTACGCATCCACTATAAATTCATTTTATAGCCTCCACATAGTATCTCAATCCAAAACGATTTCGAGATCACTCAAAAATTCAATCATTCGACAGAAATATTCCCTATACTTCAAACAATTACAATTTATACGTTCATGGAAACTCTTAGTGATGCACGCAACTGCTCCAAAACGTGCCGATCAACAAGTACGTACCACAAGGAAAAGGAATACAGTGAACCTCAAACAAATAATACAGTGAACACTTGACAAAATGAAGCTGTTACCTGAACGAAACATATTGGATCATTGCTTTTCTTTGATCTCCTATAGAAATCTTCTAAGGGCCTTTAACTCTGGAAACAAATTACTCTTGTCCGTATTTAATCTCTGATATAAGTCAAAATGGTGGTGTTCGTTTGTTTGAATGCACCCTTTCACTTGAATTGATTAACTGTAATTAACTATTAGAGCACCATTTAAGAGTCGTCTTTATCAAAGCGCAACTTTTTTACATTATATTATAGTGTATAGATGATTATATTTGCGAGAGACAAGATGATATTCTTGTTTTGTCAACTCCTGTCTTGGTCCTTAGTTAGTTCCCACCGACAATGTGCAACAGCGTCACTTGCTACACTCAAATTCTTGATTTACCGCCCGCCAAGATACAGACTTTATTTACAAAAAATATGATTTCATTTTTTGGGCTAGTGTTTAGAAGCTCTTATGGAAATTTACGTTGGGTGCAGTGGGTACAGAAGATTCTGATGGGTACGGCAAAGAAGGTACATACGCTACGCAGTATCCCGGTTGTCCAGTTCAGATTAGGCTGGTGTGAAGTTGTCCTGTTCATCTTTTTAATTGTGGTAAATCGAGTTTCTCAAGGGGCAAAGTTGACTATACAATAAAATAACCAATATAATCAAATAAATTGGAAAAATTGAATGTGGGTTGGACAATTTGAAGCATCGACAATTTCGCAAATTGTTGAATATGTGATTGATTCTTCTCTAAAGGCTTATAGAGTCAACAACTTACAAAAAGAAAAACGACAAAAATCGTTTGATTCTTGATTTAACATTGGACGATACTAATTTTTTAGTAAAACTGTTTTATAATAAAAGACAAAAATAACGAACAGAAATCATTCTAGGGATAAACAAACAAAAATTCAAAAGCAGGAGCATTTGGGATTACGATTAACTAATAAAATAGCACAGGTGAACCAATGAATTTCATAAGCCTTGAAAGTCATTCTAAGTTGCTATAATTAGATATATTGAATGCTCAAAAACCAATCCGCGTTTCCGGGATTGGTAAAAGCCATTACAATATGTCTTACTCCAGGTTTTGATTCAATTACCACTTCTGTTAGGAAAATGGCAAAACGCATTCCTTGGGCAGCACTATGGAACGAAATTAATTATCAACAGATCTTTTTTATACAATAATCATTTGTTAAAGTACCTAACGTTCATATTGGCGCTATGTGAATTAAACTAACTATTCATTAGGGAATATGTTAAACTTGACATTAATTACTATGTTGCATTTGAACGAGATTCCGCGATAGTATGTCATACTATCGCGGAATCTCGTTCAAATGCAACATTAAGTATGTGCCCTGTTGTAGGTAAAATTAATTTGTTTGGATTGCATGTCGATGTCGCTGCTGTCAAAGTGATTTTTAAAGATTATAAGTTTCGTTGTAGAGAACCTTACATGCTATAAATTACTATGACCTCAGAAAGGTTTTAAGGGCGTTGATATACTAACCGTAACAGTTCTACTATCGAGTTAAAATGCTATAAATGTTGGCAATAATGCATGATACCTAATTGTATTTTATGTATGTCAATAAATTATTGCCCCAAAAAACGTCAGGAAGTGTGCTCCTAACTGTCTATCTACATTATAAAAAAGTAGTATTACATCTTATGCCGATTACCAAACAACAGGTGGCTTCAATGTAAACTTTTTATCATACCTAAATTTCAACATGGCCTATTACTGCAATATTTGGAGTTGTGTATAATCCTATTCTAAAAACATGTTATAAAGATACTCCGTGTAATTATTGATGTCGAAAGATAAAAATTGTTCTGACAATAATTAGAATCGAATTGTTTATGTATTACTACTATAGGTATCTATACTTCCGTAGACGGTCGTTTTAAGTTTGTACTCGCACACTACAATAGAATTTGTCTTGATCTTTTAAACTTTGTGATACCCAGACTTTATTTTATTAATTATATGCATCCTCTCCTTAATAGAGAATCTCTTTATATATTATAAATAAATGATTGATTGACTTATTAATAATAAATAACCTATATGCACGTAACTCTCCATAAATATTTAATATTTCTAAGATTTTTAAATTTATTAGTGTTCGACTCTTTCCACTATTTTTCCTTTTAGGTTTACAACTAACATTACACAATTGGTGCTAAGAAACGTTACCATTAGAAACTACAAATGGTGTGTCAATATGCCTCCAAGGTGTTCCTATTATACGGAAAACCAACGTTACATTCAGGAAGTTATCGTAAGTTCCTATTTATTCATAGTAAACTCACTAATCTCTTCAACGTTTTTTGCACATTTAATTAATTTCAAACTAACAGCATCCTGACTAGCATGGCAAATCATCATTTTCATTGAAGAATAACTTCGCGTACGAATACTAATTGAGTAATAATCAAACCAAAGGAAAAAAATGCGCCACCAATACGTGATATTTATATTTATAGGCTATTGCTTTCATCGTAGTATAATAAAATTTGGTCTTTCAGGAAATACTTTCTCTAAAGTCACTTGTTACATTATTTATAATTATTCGATAAACTGAGAGTAACAATCTCAGTTTCTGTTGACGGCGAATTTAAATATTATTTCAAGTTATGCAATCTTTATACAAAAAATAAGTGAGGTAGAAACTCGGACGCGAATACCAAAGTAACAAGGTTCACATCTTTACGTAAAAACTAAATAAGTAAGTTATTGATTTGCCTACCTCCCTATGTACCTGTAACGAACTATTTTAACATTTTCCAGTTTCAATATACATTTTGCCGCATCTAAAAAGTGAAACCGTTGTTAATAAGCACGAGATTGTAACAACCCTACATTTCGTCGTTATAGGTACTTACACCTATTCCATGGTGTATAAATACATACACTGTATATACCACCATGGCCTACTCGTGTAATGAAAACTTGTATAAGCGGTATTGTGCGAAGTAGCAATAAAATAGGTGCAATAAATAAAAGTAATTGTTTATTTCCTGATGTATTCTGTTGTAACTTAATTTCGTATCAAGTAAATCTTCACTGCGTAATATTATGAAACCATACTGGAACACTGCGTGCCCATTAAAGTAAAAAATAGTAAAGCGAAAACACCACAATATTTTAATTAATTAATAATATATAAACTAAAAAATTATAGTTTCTGTTTTCAATTACCTATATCAGCTACCTACGCCAGAATTTTGAGATCTACCACCCCTCTTAAAACTAAGATCAACATAATCGTGTATAAAAAATTTAATATAAATATATAAATCGTCTAGATTTAACTATACAATATTATAGAAATTAATAATAACTATAAAACCGCTAATACGGTAATAGCCCTAGCAACTGATTTAAAAAAAGGGAAGGCCGAAATCTCCCCAGATATTGTGTAGAGTATACACTCTCGCTAGACCTCCCCCCTACACGCTCTTTAGCGTTCTAAGTATGGCATAATATGTTAAGAAACAAGGGCAGCAAAACGTACACAAGCAATTTTTTAATTGAACTTTTAAAGACCTATTACAACAACATTCATGAGATGAGGGTGACTAATCTGCGTGTAACTGTAAAGTGAATCTAGAAAAGCGGCAGACCCTACGAAATCATTTGATTTGAGGTGTGTGAAGTTAGCAGTACATGAACGGCACAAATCATAGTAGGTGCATTGTTTTGTACCGGATTTGTGGCGCTATTATAGATATCAGTTTGTCAGTAAAACATAACGCTCTCAAATTAGGTATCATATTTTTTAGGTGTACTGCTAACTGAACAACGATTTGACGGCATAAAACTCCGGACTATGCGAATGACTTTGCACCGGATTTGTGCCGAGCAAAAACTTTAAACCGGCACAAAACGAGGGGAAATTCGCATTGTTTTGACTTGGATTTCTGCTGTTTGCGTTTTGTCCGTCCGTCCAAATCCACTTCTGTCGTTTTGAACTACTTCTAGGGGAATGGTCTTCGAGTTCTGGAATGTGGTACGTGCATAACTTTTACATACGACAATTGGTCTCAGATTTTGTATACGCATGCCAACTAAAACTTTTGTAAATGGGGGGGCGGGGGGCACGTTCTACCCTTCCTGGTATACTAATGAAAGGTCTCATCGAAATAAATTGGTGTGTACAAACTATTTAAAATACCGGTAGGCACCAGATCCTTACCCCATTCTCTTTCAAATGAGCCGCCTGTCGTCGAAGTCTATACAGTTTAATGAAAAATAGTGGAGCGTATATAAATACAATCAAATTTTGAAATGGGCAATAGTTTTACTTTTATGAAACTTTTTTTAATGCTTTCGTAAATAGCATTGCCCATTGTCTACATTAGAAATTGCATGGAATACTTTTATAAATAAAACATATAGCATGCGTTTTAATCTGTGGTTTTAGTTTCATTCAAAGTATCTACATATGATATTTCATTTAACTGCTTTCATAAATAAGAAAGTTGGCATTGCACATGCGCAAAACCAAATTTTAAAACTGGTGTTAGATTTGTCTTTATTCTAATTCATTTAATGCTTTCATAAATAAGAAAGTTGGCATTGCGGATGCGCAAAACAGTATTTGGAAAACGTCGTAAATTTTACTTATATTCGTAGTGTTTACATACAAAGTTTTATTTAAATTTTTATTAATGTATGTCTCCATTGTAATTACTTTTCTTAATTGGATTGATAGGTATGAAATAAGTAATTAAAGTAATTTCTCTTGAGGTTATCGATTTCGCTACATTTATTATAGTTATCTTCGGACCTTTGCGTCAATTTAGTCCGAAGATGCTATAATAAATGTAGCGAAATCGATAACCTCGAGGATAACCTCAAGAGAAAAAACTTTATTTGCTTATTTCATACCTATCAATTTTATTTAAATATCTTCATAAATAAAAATGTATTGCACATGCGTTAAATCAAATTTTTGACAGTGCACATACACAAAACCAAAAAATATAAGTATGCACGGAATCCTTGGACCAAGCCCTTTCAAATGGGCCCTATATCGCCCAAATTGGTTCAATGGTGTAAAAAGAGTACGTGTGACGGACGGACGGACGGACGGACGACAAAGTGCAGCCAATAGCGATTTTTCACTTTGAGGAGAATACGCTAATAATGCTTACGGTTTTGAAGAATTTTTCAAAAATTCTGCATATCGTTTCGAAAAACGTGTCCAGCACCCTTCACATTTAGCCATTTACTGTTATAATTTTGCTCACGTTTCTCCAGCTTTTTGAGTCTATGTATGTATGGTTAGCATCTATGATCCCTCGGATCATAATTCCTTTACCATAAAAGATACCGAAAATAGTCTTGGAAAAAAATTGTACACAATTATCGTCACCGTGTTTCTAAAATATTTTGACCATCTGGAGCGTGCTGTGTTCCATTGGCGTATCAAACATGCGTTTTCTTAAATAGAACATCCCATATTTCATTACATATTTGGTAAGTACTTAAAAAGTACTTATTTTGTTGTGTTATTATACCCTTAGCTTTAACGATTTCGCTGTTATAACCTTTTTTCCTTAAAAATTTGACAGTTTTGAGATAAGGTACATCGCGACGGCGGCTAAGTTTTGAATTGAGGCATAGGCTAAGCGACCTCTTCCATTGTCACATACTTTTTTTAAGTACCTACTCTACCGAAAAAACCTTGGCGAAATGCCATTTTTTTTTTAATTTCAAATAATCCCCTAAACAAATTTATACCTCTGGGTAGCCGAAACTACAAAATTTGCACTAATATACAAACAGAACCACACATTCCATAAGAAACATTCAAAGAAAAAACAAGTTGAGACGCCATTTTGTAAAAAAAAAGTTCTGTGCCGTACCCTACCTCTGCCATGATGCAACCAAAGATGTTCAATTGTCAGAATTAACAATTATCGGCAGTGTATAATTGTTTTATAATCAACGTTGCGAACATGTTCCAAACTTAAGCAGATATGGTTGATATGGTGTTTATTCTTGGAGACTGTTGCCGGAATTGTTTGTTGACGTCACCAGTGTACGCTCGGGATCCTAACAGAACAGAACACATCCAGATCCACACCTGTTTCAAAAGGCGTTGTGTACTACAAGACTAACTGGGCATAATATATGGCTGTGATAACATCCGTACCTATTTTCCGACTTTTTTTAAATTGTCCAAAATTTACTTCATGATGTACATCCTCTGGCTTTTGTTTTCCCTAAGATATCCAACTGCCCATTAAATAAGTGTATGTAAATTAGATTAATAATCGACGATTAGTCATATTGATTCATGTAGTTTTGAAAATTGATACAGGTATTCTTCGTTGTGTTCCCATAAACGTAGACGTAGTAGGTACTTAATTTCCCCGAGAATAAGACGTGGGCGAGAGAGTGGAGAAAGAATAAAAAAATTTACACCCTCCTCTTGCCTCGAAAACCATGGACAATATCATCTCGATTTCTTATACACCGATAAACTACTCTGGCTTTTGATTAAACGCGAGTAAATCCTTTGTCTTTCTGAAAAGCTTTGGTGAACAAAAAATTGACTTCGCAAATTTTAATCAGCTTTACTCGCTTCACGTTGTTATGAGCCGTGCCAGCCTTGTCGATATGGTAAGAGGCAGCCCTCCTTGAAGAAAATTCCCTCAAACGCTTGGAGAACAAGCTTGTGAAGATATCTTCGGGGAAGTGGGTTGCCTTTATTTCTAGGTCCACCATCGTTGTGGTACCTAAAATCGCCTTAAAGACAGCTGACGCCAAGTGGCCAGACAAACTCCGATGTTATCCATTTTGAATGGAATGTTTCTATTCTCGTAGACCTCTCCCTAGCACAGGTCAAGGATGCTATTCTGGTCTATAATTTAAATTCGCTTCTAATAGTTCTTCTCTTCAAGGTCATGAGTGATTTTGTCCTCGCGTGAAAATAGGCATACCAATGGATTCTTAAGTACGACCTAGTCGTATGAAAATTTCTCTTGATTATCCAGCATGCGTACGTCGTCGAGTAGAATTCCTGCCGTATACACGATCACATACGACTCGCTGCCAAAAATTCGGCTACAACTCTTCTGATTCTTGCAATGATGCTGATACCCAATGCGGTCACTGTGCAACAAGGGCCAACCGAAATCGGAGTCCTCAAGCGCAAATTGGTTAGGTCACATGAGTGCTTTGAAAAACCACAAGGCTTCGGTTTCTATTTGCCCTTGTTATTTAAAACATGTCGGCTCCTTACAATAAATCTACCGCATGTTCATCATTGCAATTTTTTTCGGCGTTTGTTTACAATAGTCCCAAACCTATCAGTGTCATTATAATAAGTTATTTATGCAATAACTGTACCGCGCTATCCATGGTTACTGTTGGGAATCGTCGGTGCTTATTGGCCGCCAAGTGAAGATTTTTCTTGAGTTCGTCTTCAACGAATTAAATATACCAAGCCCTGAGTGCAGGCGACTTCAATGCTACGATCGCTGCTTTGGCACTTCCGAACAACAGATACGCGCGTTTGCAGGATGCAGGACAAAGCGTTGGCCACCTTAATCTTAGTGCGCTCTATGGAATAAATTTAAATGGGCCTTTAGTTACATTTCGATCAACGAATTATAAATTAACGATTAATTTTTATTGAAATAGCAAAGTAACGACGGCGTGAGCATCAGCTCTCGCTTGGCTTAATCGGCGTTGGAAAAAGTTGCAAGAGTTTTTAACATGTTGTACCCTGGCTTTATTTGGATAATCTCTTATTTTTATTAATTTTGACAGTTTGCATTTTAAATTTTATCGTTGCTTGCATATGTTTATGAATTAAGGATATAAATTGTAAAGTGTATACGGTAATATTATAACACCCTGTAGATCGGTAACGAAGCGTTTGCGGACCTATGTTTGTGTAAACTTGTAGTCATAAAATAAGCTACAGAATTAGGTAGCCCTTTCCATATTTACATCACATTTGGGAACACCCCGTATATCGGTTTTAAAAGAATTATATACCTATACGCTGAAAATCAGTTTCTTACACCCTCATTTGATGACGACATTGCTGGGGTTAGTAGGAATAATATTATTAGGGAAAACCGCATGAGGATATCACGCCTGTTTGACCTGAATGATTTTAGATACACCACTTCGTATAAAGAAACCCGTTCGGAAAAAAAGTCGAACAAAGTGATTAGGTACATATATCACTAATATCACGCGTCTTTTCAAAAGTCAAATAATCTTCGTTAATTAAATCGCTAATCCGTAATTGTTATATTTATAAAGTATACATTTCTTATTTGGGCTTCTGTCGCATAGGTATACTAATAGTTTACAAAATAACGATTTTATTACTTGCTTTCACTCTCCGCTGCGAATGCTTATTAGAGCAAATCCTTCTTATACTTACGCATGTATCGCAAATTACTTTCATTATGTAAGAACTACGAGTAATAATGTATCTATACAAAATAGCACTTGTATTAAATGTTTACTATGTCTACCATTAGGAAAAAGAAGAAGTACGCCTAGTAAATAGATGTTGTTCTGGATTTAAAGAGGATGCGATATCCTCCACCTGCGTCTTCGATTGCGCGCAATGCTCCACCATTGAATGTAAATTGAGCTCTGAATGTTCCTGTCCACCTGGATTTTGGGGCCAAGAATGCGATTTAGGTTTGTCGCTTATTCAGAACAATTGTTGCTTATTGCTTACATTGATAAATTAATATAGGTTGTCCCGATTATTACTGGGGTCCGAACTGCTTCGAGAAGTGTCCTTGCATTAAAGGAAGTTGCAACCCCATTACAGGATACTGCAATTGTCCTCCAGGTTGGAAAGGAAGCAGGTAACGTACCTACATTCAAATTTGGAAAGGTTTTGTCTACTTCAAACTTTGTTACTTATAATTAACATTCTAACTGGTGTATGAGTGGCTCATAAAACGAATGTACCTGTCACTTGCAAATGTAGGTATAACTGTAGATAAATTATTCAAAATTTAAAGAAGTAAACATCTTATATAACCAACGAATAAACATGGAAGGTAAGCGATTGCAAAATCTGTACCATTCACTTGAACCAAAAAAGTTCAAGTATGTATATATTTCAATTTTTTACAGCGTTTCTCAATTTTATTTGCGCCCACACATATTTGGCATTTTCAAAGTTTTATATAATAATTAAATGGACCGCTGTATTTAGTGATAAGTAATTAAGATAAATGTAAACAGTATAGTGTTGGTATATGCGCCGATTCTATTTGTATATTTAGGTATATAGTTAACTAAATTTCACCCGCTTAATAAATCCAGAAAGTTACCGAACAAGGTATTAAGTGTGTGTCCTTTTCAAGCTTTGTATTTCACACCCTAGGTGGAGTAATGACCTCCCAAAAAATGTTAGATCCGATAAAGGAATAAAAATATGATTAGTGATAGTATTTACACAGAGATGACTAAACTCATTAAACCCAATCATTTTGTGCAGCTAAGGTGAGCTCCAACTCCCCCTACACTACCCGCCTACACAATGCCAAATCAAATCAAATATGACTGTATACACTTGAAAACAAATAATCTTAAGAGGTTTGGATGTAAAACAAGTAGGTAGGGTTAATTCACTTGATAATCAATTTAATCAGTAATTAATAGTAATAGTAATTAATTTTTTGTCCTCGTTAAAAAAGAGAATAAAAAACCATCTAAAACACTGAACTATACTGGAACGCGTACTGACTGTCTACTACCAAATAGGAACGTAGCGCGTCGTGAGAGATAGGGGGTCATTTCTGTCACTATCACTAAATACGTTGTGACATGACTATTGACGTTCGCTATACATGCGCGTACTCGCGATAGAGTGGGACAGAGGTATCCTTTGTGGTCCTCTCTCTTGGACCGAGCTGGCGCGCGTTCCAGTATAGTACAGTTCAGTCTTCTAAACAATTTCAAAAAAATTACCACCACTTTTACACCATTTTTGAGTGTTTCGAAATAACAAAGTGTGGCCCTCCTTAATTTCTTTGACTACCCTCAGTACCTTATCCTTCACCACCAGCCGTAAGTCATCGCCCTCGGATAACACACCCACCCCAACGCTTTTGCGCAGATGTTTATACTGCTTTCCCCTGTATAAATCCGTATCGTGGTCTGCCTCTTGTCTTGCAGCTTCTTGGCTGCCTTAGTAATTGTTTCATACATGCTTACACATCCCTTTTCTGTACCTTCTATGGCCGCCATGAAGATAAATTGCTCCTTCGCGTCCGTGTCTTCTCCATCATCCTGCCTATAACCCGCCTCCAGTTGTTTTAAAATAAGCATACCATCCAAGAAGGCGTACGCCGCCTTCCTTCTAGGCAAACTCTGGATGCAGGCCACTTTTTTCCTTTCCTTGTCGCTCTCTTCTCTGGTCCCCACCATCGTGTCACTTCCAAGTCAAGTACCCTATATCTCAAATTCCTCTCCTCTGGCTGTCCCATACGGTTATTTACCTCAAACAATTCCCTTCATATCCTCGCAGGTCGCATTACCCTCGATTAATTTCCTTATCTCTTCCCTGTCCGAATATTCCTGTTTGATGATAACCTTCCGTATCCAGCATGCTGGAGGATCATCTTTGACATTATATGGTTTGGGCGTGTTTCTCTTGCCAAGCGCTACTATCATATCCTAGCTTTCTTCTACCATTGACTGTGAGGGTATACTGGCTAGCAGCGCTATAGTTTCTTTAGAATTTGAGTGCTTAAAACACCAGCCCTATCAATCTGCTTTCCAGAAATGCTTTTTCTGGTAAATTGAGTCGTGCCACTCTTTGGGCCAATTCCGCTTGATATTACCCTTGCATTTCGTTCCATTGGATTGGAAGTGGAAACGGATGCTTCTTCCTAGACTCCTTCACGTCGAAGCGCAGTGCTTCTACAGCCCTATCTTTCTATTTACGCAACTTGGACAGAGCTGCTGATATCACCTCACCCTTTTAACCCTCTCACTCCATAGCGCTACAGTCACCAAACGCGTGCAGCGTTAAAGATCTCCAGGTAATAGAGGTGAGATATATTTTCTTTTTTTTTACGAGAATACCAGATTACACCTTTCAGAAACAAATAGATAGTTATATCACATGCGGCGGTGATCTCAGGTTGTAACGTAGCAGATACGGAACACATTACTTATTATAACTCCTGCTTTCTAAATACAAACTGCCAGCAGAAATAACAAAGCTTCCGTATATAACATTTTTAAATACAGATTGAAATTTTATTGCGTTTTAAGTGTAAAACTGTAAAGCTGATAGTGATCAGCAAATTTTGATCTTGTCGAAGGCTACCACATTCCCTTTATCGGTACCCACCTCCGACGTCCCGTTCACCCCCAATTCGCGTTTTCATTCCACCATCAGTAAGATGTTTTCGGGAGCAACCACAATCCCTTTGTCGGTACCCGCTTCGCATTTGGGTGGATTTGGCTAAAAACCACAAGGTAGTGCATACTAAATTTTGTGGGCACTTCTCAAAGCTCGACCTTCTATTGGCGCCCCTTCTAAAAGTTTGTTAATTTCGCCCCTATAAAAAAAATTCCTTCAAGCAGGAGTTATGTGCGCTTACCAGATCTTTCCGACGACACCAATTCTTTAAAAAAAATCGGACCAAAACTACAAAAATATAGAAAAAAACTGAAAAATCACCACATTAGAATAACATGTTCGAGGATGGCGCCCAGATGTCGCAGACTCCACATCATGTAGCATCATCCCTGAAGTTGTTAATTGCACGGCCCCGGTAGGTATATGTACACTTGTCTTTCTACAAGCGTACTTCGGTGGGTCCGCATTTGTTGCCAGCCAGTCAGCCAGCCGGCCGGCCAAAATGAGATTAAAAGTTAGCTTTTTACAAATAAATTTGCAAAAATGCGCTAAAAAAAATCTCATACAAAACTTGTCAGTAATATGACACTCTTGTTGCTCTCTTCTTAATCGACAACCAACCGGAAGTATCCCACCAAACTTGTATACCATTTTTATATGCATTGGAATTAATATCATGGTAAGTAAATCAAATCGAAAATAAATGAGTACATGGATCCCAAAGCAGGTGTAACCACTTTCGCTGAAATTGAAATAAGGTTACATTTCTCATTAAAAACAACTTACCTGCTTAGTAGTTTTTAGTACAGCTAGGTACTGCTTTGGTACGGTCAACGAAGTAGTGAATACGTTTTAAAATCATCTGTATGCGAATTAAACTCTTCAGGATGCGATTTCCATCCATGCGCCGGAAAGTAGAGAAAGAAGACTTCTCTGTCTTTGCGAAACGAGATTCTTCGAAAGACATGACAGTGTCTTAACATTCGTCGAATTCTCCTACTCGGTTTGCATTATTGTGGAAGAGATTTTTAATAGACGCGGAAGCTTACTTCCACCGTCTCAGTTTTATTGGCAGCCATGGAGAAGAGCGAATTTCTCGTTTATGAAACACTGTTCGGTTAACTTTTGCCATTGTCTGTACTTCTTCAAAACAAGTCTCTCGATCTGCAACATGCTAAAGAGGTTCTTATCTAAGAAATGAACGAAAAAACGCAGACAACATTTTCAACTAAATCTTCAACTCTGCATGGTGGAAGTATTCGAAACTGACGTGAAGGTTCCACTACTTACAACAAATCAATCAAAAGCCCCAATCCACATACTTCTCCTGAAAACTATTACAGAGTGACGGTCCTCGTCCCTTGTCTTGGGAAAATTTAACAGATCAAATGAAAATATTCTTCAAAGTTTCCAGATCCTCCTTCGAGTCTTCCTGTCTATTTAACAAGTTGGAGACCACCGTACTTCACTCTCTACAGTAAAAGCAGAATATGAACTATGTTGTGAAAAAGCTTCCACCATAGACGCTAACCTTGAGATGCTGAAAGTATTGCGTTCCGGTCTATTTTCGTACAATTAGACACTGTATATTTGTATAGTTTTGAATAGCTTTGTTAAGGAATAGCAAGTATAATTCACCTGAAGTACAAAACAACTGTATATATATTTAGATAGCAATCAAAATTGAAGACCAAATTAGTATAAAATAGATAAAAAGTCATTAAGAATGTAATTAATAATTATATTTGTAATCAGGAAATACAGGGCTACTTAAAACTATAAGAATATACAGGGTGTCCCATTAAAGATATTGAAAACGTATTTTTTTGGGCACTCCCTGTGTATAATTCAATCAGTTACTACATTTTTAGACGGTACAGATCTTTTATTTGAAACTTTTGTTTTGTGTTCCCAAAATTAATGGAAGTCAGAATGTCCTGGGAAACTCTGTAGGTACATAAATACTAAATCAAAAATGTTCTTTGTTCTAAACTCGAAATAATCCGTGTTTCATTTTTTAAGACCTCTTCCTTCAAAAAGGTTCTGGATACAGACCTGTTAAAGGAAATCGACATTTCCGCCCCTCCTTTGAAGCCCCACTCTCTCACCCAAACTTAATCTAATTTTTGGGCACAAGGCAAGACAATACTTAAATAGGTAATTAGACAACTATGTAGGTAGGTATTATCATTTTAGATTTACATTTTAATCTAATATTGTATCTGTTTCTATCGCCGCGTTCAATTTAAGTTATGAAATATAAATCACGATATGCCTAAATGATAATATAAAACCAATAGGGAAACTGGCAATGTCTATAATAAAATAGGTAGGTAAAAGTGCTGTGTCACTTTGTAATTTGTACCCCAAATTTCCTTGGAATTTAAGAAACTGCATAACGTTTATTTTCAATTGAAGGTAACCGTGAGAGATATACGAGAAGGTAGCAGTTAATAAATTAATGTATTTGGCCAAAGTGCACTTCTTAACTATTTCAGCACTGAGGCAACAAATCCAACGAACTATGAAAATGTTATCAAGGCCGATATCAAATCCAGGGTTTTCTTACCTCACTGTGTATTAATTTGTAATTATAATGAGAGCTAATTGCGTTTGCAAAATATCGATCCAAAGTTTCTTTGTTGTTACAGGTGTGAAGAAGAATTGACACCACAAACTAATTCGAGTGCGAGATCTGATGGGAGTAACTTTGTGAAAAGTTTAACCAAACAATCAGATCGTGCACATTATCCGACACTTCAAAAATACTTTACATTTATGGTTACGACACATAATCCAGCTTCTGCAGTTAGAACTGAATCCGATCCACTTTCCATTTCAACACCAAAAATCGCATCTGTGTTAGTGTCCCATACGGAAACGACGACAGAAATAAACGACCAGAGGCCGCCAGTAGCGATTAACGATGTAGGCGGCAAAACGGAAATGAGTACAGAGTCTGTTGCGGCACAGTCAATTATACAAGAATCTGGAACACAACAAAATCAAAGCTTTGTAAATAACTCGATGTTAGATCGAGCGATTTCCGTTTCACAAGTTACTAACGATATTGTGAAAGAGAAAGTGGCGGAGAGTATTGGGGTTAGTGTAACAAACACACAAACTGTATCTTCTGAAGGTAGTTGGCTCGATGATCAATCACCTGCAGATATCGACACAAATTTATCAACCCATCCCAATGGTACATATGTAAAGAGTTCTCATATAATATTTAGCGTAGGTGCGGTTGTTGGAATATTGGCTACCATCATCATCATAGTAGCGGTAACATTTCTAACAACGCAAAATTACAAATACAAACACAATAAAATGTCGATATTAGGAAATGACAAAAACACCAAAAATGGAAGCAGCGATGGAAGATTATCGGCTGTTGCAATTTACACTCGTAGCGTTTTCCATACGCCACTACCTGGTAAGTCGTATTACTTGTTCAATTATCTATATTGGGTAGACGTCTTTTTCAATATACAAGAGAAACCTTGCCCGGTAAAATACCTGTAATACTAGTTTACTACCGGTCATCTCGGTCGATTATTACATAGGGAAATTTATTTTCACTTTCTGCAACAATTTCTAGGTCATGTGAGTCTCTGGTAGGTAACTCCAATTATTGTAATACGCAAATGGTTGCGTAAGGTTAGGAATGTAAAGTCTGGTTTATTTCAAATGTGTGTCGACGAATATGTTCACTAATTAACCAATAATTCTAATTTTGTACTAATTATGGCCATGGGTAATAGCCAGGTTGCGGACGGCTCCGTTAACTTAGCACCACCATTTCAAATTTTTGACTAAAGACAGATTGCGCTAGAATCTCTATGGCTAGCGCCAGCTAGCGCCACTTTGAGTTCAGCTAGCGCCATTATAGATTTTGCAGAAAAGCCCTTGACTTTCGGGGGGTGCTATGTTAACGCTAGCACCACCATTGCGTCCGATCATTTCCAAAAGCAAGCGCTGTGTTCGTCAGACCTAGCGCCAGCTAGCGCCACAAATTTTAGAGCTAGCGCCACCCCCCAATAGTGCGGGGGGCATTTTTTCCTAGCACCACCATTTTGTTTTTTCGGGTAAAATTTTGACGTTTTGTGTTCTGCTGACCTAGCGCCAGCTAGCGCCACGAATTTTAGAGCTACCATCACCCTCCAATAGTGTGGGGGGAGGGGGCACCACCATTTTGTCTTTTCGGGTAAAAATTTGATGTTTTCTGTTCTTGTAGACCTAGCGCTCAAGTTAACCTAGCGCAATTATAAATCCTAGCGAGTTTATAATTTTGCGGTATCTGTCCGTCTGTCCGTTAGCACGATATCTTGATAACGATAACGAATTGACCGTTTACGATGAAATTCTGTAGATGGATTCTTTATCAAATTTGTAGATCGGAGTTCGTGAATTGGCAATGTAGACCAAAAAATAAAGTAGGCATTTTTGACATCTCTGTGAATTATGAACCGAATTGTATGAAATTCAATATGTGTATTGCTTTAGCCATATAAAACGCAATTCCAAAAGTTGAGCCTAATCGATCAACATTCACAGTGCTCTTTTGGCATCTCGACCATTTACAAACCGGATTGAAAACTTTCTTATTTATGGAAGCATTTAAAAGAAATTTGATACATAGCCACTTGGAATAAAAGCAAATTTAACGTCAGTTTCAAAATTTGGTTTTGTGCATGATGTGTGGTGCCAATTTTCTTATTTATGGAAGCAATTAAATCAAATTTCATACATATACACTTTAAATAAAAGCAAAACTAACACCAAGTTCAAAATTTGGTTTTGCACATGCTGTAGCCATACCCAGGAGCTCGTTTTCTATATTTATTTACACGTCGATGCGAAAAGGGCACTGTGAATGTTGATAGATCAGGTTCAATTTTTGGAATTGCGTGTTATATAGCTTAAGCTATACGAATATTGAATTTTATGCAATTCGGTTCAAAACTCACGCATATGTCAAAAGGGCCTGACTTATTTTTTGGGATACATTACCAATTCATGAACTTCGATCTACAAATTTGATAAAGAATCCAACTACAACATTTCATCGTAATCGGTCAATTCGTTATCGAACTATTGTGCTAACGGACAGACACCGCATCTGGGATGGTCAAACTCTTTACCTTTTTTAAACCCGAATGTGCAAATCTGTCCCTCTAAGGGTCTGAAATAATAATCAAATTATTTCAATTTGAAATTCTTTACTTTTTGGATTGATCGTTCTGTTTAAAGTAAAAAGTTCCAATAAAAATACTAAAATTTGTATATAAAGTAGCAAGATTGTAACCCTTCATTTCGAAGTAAACTGACGGTGAGGTATGCAGGTACAAACTTACTTAAATCCTTTATGAATGCGCAAGAGTTGTAAATTATTTGTCACATCAAGGGTTTACAGGCGCGTCAATTGTGTGAATGTTGGTAAATATGTATTGTTAAAAAAACACCTTTAGATGGTAGTTGACGTGACGTACATAGGTATATAATTTATCAAGAGCTTGATTTTTAATCGCATAATTTTATTTTTACACGAAAATTTTGTTGCAACGGAAAAAACTCGAAACCAAAAGTGTGATCGCGACAGTTTTAGCTGGAGCGATTTTATTAATATTATGCTTTTGATCAAGAGTTTTTTCCAGGAGGCAACAAAATTTGAGTGAATTAAAAATAAAATTATCCTGACCAGGGTCGAGTGTATTTTAGGGAGATTAATAAAGACAATAAATTTTACAACCACTACATATTTTACGTATTCCTACACGCATTTTTATCGCTGTAAAAAGCTACCTAGCATTTAATCAGATAAAAAATCATCTGATTGGTTAGAATTTGAAACCTAGCCGATTGGCCGTATATTAATGGAGTGTATTAATCATATAAAATACATATGCCTTATTTGCACCATAAAAATTAGTTAGCTACGGAAATTACACATAAGTATATAAGAACTGCTTCTTTGTTTTTTAGCAGAATTAACAAATATGCTGATTAATTTAACGACTTTATATAGGTTATGAGTAGGTAGGTACGTTCGTTGAAATTTTCAAATTTTGCACTGCGCTGTGCTCTAAACGATTTAGCTCGCAATACTGTGGTAGTGAAATTAATACTGTGACTTACAAAAAGAATTGTTTAGTGAGTAGAGCACAAAACAGAAAAATTTCACAAGAAACAGTACCTAATATGGAAATTTTAAAATTAAAAATTCATAATATAGTACGGTGCAATTAGTCGACAAAACGGCTTAACCTAAACATCAAAAGTAAAAGTTTCCCATTAACTGCAAATTGTTCTATACAGTCCACATATTGTTTGGTAAAAAGTTACACCAGTTGGTAAATTAGTAGTTTTTGGTGTTTTTCTTAAATATTTAGAAAACTATGGGGTTTGGCGAGAAAAGTACCATATCCAAAATAATCTACATTAAATTGTGAATAAAAATGGTCTTGTGTATAATCTTGCTCAAGTCAACGATTCCAGAGTTACGGAGGGTGTAAAAGTAGGCATTTTTTGTATTTTTTCGATTTTCTGGAAAAATGAAATCATGTTTGAAGTAAAGAACACTGAAGATCTGGCTTGTTTTCGTTACCAGTGTTACTTGCAAGCTATTTCAAAGCATCCTATACATTCACTGTTCAAGTTGGCTGCGCTTCTCCCCACTTCAGCAGCTACCAGGTAGAACATTCATTTAGAACTTACCATTAGAAGAAGAACCCGATGAAGTGGGAATGCAAGATTGTCGAACACCTGAAGCAATAACAACACATCCTGCAACTCCCCAGGAATTACTGTCCCTCATAGTGGAAGTCTCTTGAAAAAATGGCCCCCCTTGAGAAGGTGGTAAGGTTATCGTCCCTTCAAGGACTTATCAGTAACATACCACCGGTCACTAAAGCGCAATTTGTTTTAACCGGTTTTAACAAAAAAAATAGTTTCCTTAGTGATAATCTCATATTTTTTCCAAAAGAATCTAAAAAAAAAGATGAAAAATTTCTACTGTTACACCCTCCGTAACTCTGGAATGGTTCAATTTAGCAAGATTATATATGAGGCCATTTTTGTTCGCAATTTACTGTAGATTATTTATTTTATTTCGCGCTAAATAGTATAGTTTTTTAAATATTTAAGAAAAACTTATCACAACTACTAATTTTCCAACATTTACTTTTATTCAAAGTGGCTTATGTGTCAAATTTCATTTAAATCCCTCCATAAATAAGAAAGTTGGCACTGCGCATGCGCAAAATCAAATTTTGAAACTAGCGTTATATTTGCTTTTATTCCAAGTGGTTATGTATCAAATTTCATTTAAATCCTTCATAAATAAAAAAGTTTGCAATTCGGTTTATAAATGGTCGAAATGCGAAAAGAGCATTGTGAATGTTGATCGATTAGGCTCAATTTTTGGAATTGCGTTTTATATGGCTAAAGCTATACGCATATTGAATTTCATGCAATTCGGTTCATAACTCACGGAGATGTCAAAAGGGCCTTCCTTATTTTTTGGGTTACATTGCCAGTTCACGAACTCCGATCTACAAATTTGATAAAGAATCTCGTAAAGAATCCACCTACAAAATTTTATCGTAATCGCTCCATTCGTTATCGAGATATCGTGCTAACGGACGGACAGACGGACAGACACCGCAAAATTATAAACTCGCTAGGAGCTCGTTAATAAATGATAATTTTCTTCCATGGGGATCGTGGTCCCCATTACACTGACTGGCCGCGTTACCTGCACCTTGTATGGCAATACTTAAATTTGTCGTAAGTAAGTGGTAGCTCTGGGTTCCCAGTAATATTGGTAATGCGTTTTCCCAGGTATTCCACAAAATTCTCTACACCAAGGTCCCAATGTCTCTACTGCGAAAGGTATAAAAATATGGTTCTGTTCTATAATAATTGAACTGTATTTCCTTATTTTAATACTTGCCGCAGATTCAGCTACCATACCACTCGTTTTACTAGAAAATTAATCCAAAATATTTCAGTGGTGCCAAGTCATAAAGCTAGGAAAAACTGTCCCAGACTACTTGGGTGTGGCGCCTACTCTTAAGATTTTGACTCTATCTGGGAGATGTCAGCAAAACACAAAATAGCAAAATTGTACACGAAAAAACAAACCGGTGGTATTATAAAAAAAGGACCCCCACAATGTTGGGGATTGGGCGCCAGCTCTGCGCTACGTTTAAAGAACACAGCGCAGCGCTTGCTTTTGGTAGTCATCGAACACAATGGTGGTGTTAGAGGTAAACCACCCCCAAAAGTTAAAGGCTTTTTGCAAAATTTATAATTGCGCTAGGTTAACTTGAGCGCTAGGTCTACAGAACAGAAAACATCAAATTTTTACCCGAAAAGACAAAATGGTGGTGCCCCCTCCCCCACACTATTGGAGGGTGATGACAGCTCTAAAAT